CCCTCAAGATAATTCTCAAGAACAGCTCTACTTATGTCTTCCAGGAAATCATACAAACCATACTTATCAGGGTTTACATGATTAATTGTTTTACATTTTGACTTGTAGTGCACGTGAAAATTATGATAAACATCTCCCATCACTGTCAATAATTCAAATAACAAGAAATATAAAAATAAATGGCATAAATAAGGCACTGGCCAATTGAAACAAAGAAAATACAGACAAATTGAACAAATTCATGCATTTTCAAATTACAGACATTTTAACATAAATTAAACAAATTCATGCATTTTCAAATTAAACCCCCTAATCGAACAATTTACAGACAAATTGAAAAAAAATCAAGATCCTGAATTTACAGACAATCGAACAATTCAACAAATTCAACAAACCCAACAAAGAAACTCAAAAACTAACCCTAAACCCCTAAATCAAGATCCTAAATTACAGATATAAATTTAACAAACCCTAAACTCCCAAACCAAAACAACCGAACAAAGAAACAGTTAAAAAAAACATTTTTCCAAACCCGAAACCCCCTATCAACTAAAACGAAAATCAATTTTTAGAAAGACAAAATCCATACCTCTAACTCGCGATTTTTTCTCAACAGCTTCAAATCAAACAAATGTTTCCCCTTCGAACATTCAACTATCTGCAGATATGTTGTTTGACCAAGTGTATTCGGTGTACGTATCAACCAAAATCGATGTCTTCACATACGAACCTAGGGTTATATCTCTCTGTTATCTCTTCTCTCTACCTCTCTATCTAGGGTTAGTCGACAAAATGAATTTCCAAAACCTAAGTTTGGGTTAACGAAGTAAAGTGGATTGAAGTGTTTGGCCACTGTGATTACAAGGTGTTTGGTTCACAGGATAAAACAAAATTGGGTTAAAGTTATATAAACTTTGGTTTGGTTAAGTGTAAAGAGGAAAACGACAAAAGGGCAATTTAGTCATTTCATTCACTTATTATTTTTTGCCAGCCGACAATGTCTGACAGGGGGTCTGACTGAAATTTTGCAAACGTGGGGGGATCTCCTTGAAGTTAGGACATACCTCATAAGGTGTAACTGAAGTTAACCCATTTGTATATTGTAATGCTATTATGAGACAACTCCTATCTAACTAATGAATTAAAAAATTTATTAAATGATTAATTTGACTTTTTATGCGTTTGAAAAAATCTGTCTCAATTACGTGGTTAAACAAAGAGACTTCATGTTGGAGACTCTTTAATAGCATTACTCATTTGTGTGTGCATATATATATATATATATATATATATTCTATTTTAATTAACTTAAAATAATTTATTAAAAATATACTAAATGAAAATAGAAAGAAAGTTGATAAAGAACGGTACCATTGGCCCCAATGTAGCTCTGCAACTGTTTTTTAGACACACTTTTGTTATTTTATTTAAGAAAATTTGTAAACTTTCCAACAGGAGAAAGTGAAGTTTCTCAAATAAAGTGCAACTAAAAAAAGAAAAAACTTAATGATTGTAAATATGTGTGTTTATATATACATATTCCTTTTTAATTAACTTAAAAGGATATAGATATCAAGTGATGCAAAAGAGTAATTAAGATTAATATATGTATAATAACTCTCTCAAAAAACTGATAATTGTATGGGTCTTTTTTAACTATGACTTAATAAAATGAGTCTCTTTCATAATTATATAAGAATTAAATTGGGGCATTTAAAAAATTAATTAAAAATTATTTATAAAATAAAAATAACAAGAAAGTCATGTGGGAACTGGCCCACTGAACCCTCTGTGGCTTCGTCACTATTTTTTAAGCTTGTTTTTGTCATTTATTTATGGAATATTGGGAATCGAATTTGGGGTGTCTAAAATCGGAAAAGGAATATATATATATATATATATCCTTTTATAATTAATTAAAAATTGATAAGTATCAAGTGGCGAAGAGTAATTATGATTAATATGTTTCTAATAAATTTCTTACAAAACTAATAAATTGTATCATTAAAGTAACAAAGTTGCATCAAAATCCAAATTTGTTAAAATAATCTAAATACTAATTAATTCTTAACTAATTAAGTTTTTTTTTTTTTTTTTTTTTTTTGTCAGACCTAATTAAGTAATACTCCAAGACAATCAATATATAAATTAATTAACCTATTTATTTATGTGGTCTTAGGGATGAGAATTGAAAGGTGGAATGCTAAATCATTTTAAAAGTTTTTTAAATATTACAAGGTTCACTAAAAGATAAAATGTATGGGTCTTTTTAATTTTGGCTTGGTAAAATTGGTCTCTTTGAGAATTATATAAGACTTAAAAAGGGACATTAATATAATTAATTAAGAATCTATATACTGAATGAAAATAACATTAAGAATATATATACAGAATGAAAATAGCATTAAGAATCTATATACATAATGAAAATAATAAGATATTTACGTTGGAACTACCTCACTCAACCCTCGGTGAGTTCCCCTACTGTTTTTTTGTCATTTTATTTATGTAATATTGTAATCTCGTAAGTGGGGTGTCTCAAATAGTTTGCAATGGAAAAAAATAAAAAATAAGAGTATAAATAAATAAATATATTTATTTTATAATTAATTAAAAATAGATAGATTCACTTCTAAGACACAACTCTCACCAGCATTATGTTTTAATGACGTGAACATAATCTATTTATTACATTATTTTTACATTTATTATTGGAGTTTCTTTTCAACTTCAATATCAATGAAAAATAGCATTATGAATCTATAGATAGAATGAAAATAACAAGAAATTTACGTGGGAACTGCCTCACTCAATTCTCCGTGAGTTCCCCACAGTTTTTTTGTCAAATTTTTTTGTCATTTTATTTATAGAATACTGTAATCTCGTAAGTGGGGGATGTCTCAAGTAGTTTGCAATGGAAAAAATAAAAAATTAAGAGTATAAATAAATAAATTTATTTCTTTTATAATTAATTAAAAATAGATAGATTCCCTTCTAAGACAAACCTCTCACCAGTCACCAGTATTATGCTATAATGACGTAAAAAATAATATATTAATTACATTATTTTTACATTTACTAGTGGAGTTTATTTTCAACTTCAATATCACTGAAAATAGCATTAAGAAATTATACATAGAATGAAAATAACAAGAAATTTACGTTAGAATTACCGGCCCTCACTCAATCCTCCATGAGTTCCTCCCCATTGTTTTTTTGTCAATTTTTTTTTTTTTTTTTTGGTCATTTTATTTATGAAATATTGTAATCTCGTAAGGGGGTGTCTCAAATAGTTTGCAATGGAAAAAATAAAAAAATAAATAAATATATATATATATATATATATATATATATATATATATTTCTTTTATAATTAATTAAAAATAGATAGATTCCATTCTAGGACACACCTCTCACTAGTATTATGCTTTAATGACATGAACAGAATCTATTAATTACATTATTTTAACAATTATTAGTGGAGTTTCTTTTCAACTTCAATATCAATACTCTTTTATCAACTTATATTTTTACACTATAATTTTCCGCATGTTATTTTTTATTTTTTTATTTTTTTGGGAAAGCCAAACATGTTAGTTTTCATTCAAGATAATCATTGGACGTTCCACTTTTTAACAATAGCAGCGCCAAAAATTACTTCCAGCGGAGCAACCTTTTGACAATATCATATATAAACTTAAAACATACTCAAATTCAAGATAACCGCAAAATTTTACAATAACATATTTTTTTATTCTAAAATATTTGTTAACTAATGTATGTAATAAAATTGCTAAAATAAAAAATGACTAATCCAGTACTGGAGGCTTACACAATCGCACCGAAGCAAAATTGGTAAAATAATCTAAATATACAAATTATTGACTAATCAAGTAACAATCAAACGCAGTCAAAATATAAATTAATTGACTTTCCGAAAAAAAAAAAAAAAATTAATTAATTAACTTGATCAATACACTTATTATTGTATTGTCACTAGTTGTCAAAAACACCCCCTTTCCGTATTTTTCAAACTAGTCTTAAGATAATAATTGAACTCTTTCCTTCTCAAGAAAGATGGAATGCTTAGTGATTTTAAAGTTTTTTTCAAATATTGTGAGGTATACTAGAAGAGAAAGTTTATGGGTCTTTTTTTAACTTTGATTTGGTAAAATGAGTATCTTTGAGAATTATATAAAAATTAAATAGGGGCATTTATATAATTAAAAAAAATTATACACAGATGATAATATCAAAAAAGTCATGTGGCCCATGTGGGAATTGCCCCAGTGAACCCTTGGTGGCTTCGACATTGTCTTTTATGCAAATTTTTGTCATTTTATATATGAAAATTTGTGAAATTATCTACAATTGAAAGTGGGGTGTCTCAAAGAGTGCAACGAATAAATTTAAATTGTGAAGTTTCCAACCATTAAAAGTGGGAGGGTCACAAACAGAGTGTAACTGATAAATTTAAATTGTGAAGTTATCCACAATTGAATATGGAGGTGTCATAAATGTGTGTGTATATGTGTGTGTTTTTTTTGCCCTTTTATAATTAACTTTAAAAGGTAGATATCATGTGATTGAAAAAAGAATAATTAGGTGACTAATATGCTTCTAATAAATCTCTCAAATAGCTAATAAATTGTATCATTAAGTCACCCATCCTGTCCCGCTAAATAACAAACGATTAGTTGGATATGAAATACATCCCTTGAGAAAGATAAATGAAAAGAAAGGAATTGGGGGTTAAAAATAAATACGTGAAATTGTAATGGGATTGATTTTTGATTCAAATAACATATGATTACTCGGATATGGATTGAAGATTTATTTCGATAATTCGTTAACAATTTGAATCCGTTAATATATTAACTAAACAAATCAAATATAAATTAAAGTCAAACCGATTTGAAAGTAATCCGAGCCGCGTAATATATTAATACGGGGTAAGTGTAGAAAACACCCCTCAAGTATACTTTTTGTAACATTTTTACCACTTATTTGAAAGAGTGTGCAATAAACACCCTTAATCTTTTAAAATTGTGCAAAATTACCCCTCTGTGAAATAAACAACCCTAAATTATTGTTGTAATACCCATTTTGCCCTTTTAGTCTTCCCAAAATACCCCTCCTTCTCTCTCTACTCTCTATTCCCTGCCGCCAGTTCCTCCCACCACCGTCTTTTTCTACACCCAATTTTGCTTTCACTCTTCTTCTTCATCATCATCACCGAATCAATAAACATCCAATTAAAAGCTAAAACATGAAATTTAAAACTAAAATATACTAATAATTTACGGACATGATTGCTTCAGCATGCAAACGAAGCCCATTTTGTTCAATCTCAGACATGTAGTTCTTCACTTCTTTTCGAACCATCTCTTGCATCACAGACAAGAATTCTTGACTAAAGAACTGTTTCTCAGCCGTTGGAGCTCCAAATTCGAAGTTTTGACCGCTATGAGCCACCATCGGTGGTGGAGCGAACTGGTGTACAATCACAGGCGGTGATGGTGGTGGTGGAGCCAACTGGGTAGGCTGCATGACTTGATGGGATCTGAATACTTGATTCGAGACCTCACACGAATCAGAGCCGGGCAGGGACAAGCTTAGAGAGGTAGACGGGTTGGTGGTCGACGACGACGACTTCTCGATCTGCAGCATCGGAGGAACGACCCCAACGGTTTTCTCAAACGAATTGGATCCGGTGAGCTCCATGGCGGAGTTGTGAGCTCAGAAGATGGCGGAATTGGGGCTACCGTGGTGGAGGTGCCGACATCGGAGGTGGAGGAGGTGATTACGATGTAGGATACAACATCATGTTCGGATCTCCCACCACCACCACATCCACCTCTCACTGCTCTATTCTGACACATGTGTTGCTTCTAAAACTACTTTTGCTCACAGCAGAACCCCTCTTTAGCCGAACCTCCCCAAATTGAACACACTTGTTGCTTTAGCCCTTGCACTTGTCTAACTTGAAATTGCATATACCATTATGAAAATTCCCAAATGACTCAGAAAACAGAACATGCAGCCGATTCCACCGCCCCTTGCTCATAACCGCTGTGAGATCTCATTGGCCGCCCGCCCATCCCGGGATCCATAGTCGCCGATGGGTTTTTCTCCATCCACCGAGCTTCTTCTTTACGGCCAGATTCACAACGCCGACTAAAATCACAACCTCTTCGGCAACGACAGAAGCGAACTAGAGGCTGAAACGGCGACTTAGGACAGAGTGCGGCGGTGACCTTCGGATCGGTGGACCGGCAGAGATGGATGGCCGGTGAGATAGGTTCGGTTTGGCAATGGCTTCGGCTTTGATGAAGCTCGGCTGGACTGATGGCTGTGCAACGACGGCGGAGCTTATCTTCTCCTTGCTTGCCGATGCAGGCTGTCGCATGAGAGGGGGCCTGTTTATTGTCCTTTTTAATTTTTTTACAAAATTTTGTATTTTTATATATTTTATAAAATTATTGATTAAGGGTATTTTAGTCAAGTTTGATTTTAAATTTGCAAGAGGGACTTGATTGCACTAAATTGAAACTTAAGGGGTGTTTTTTGCACGAGAGGGGTGTGATATGCACTATAAGCATACTTGAGGGGTGTTTTTTGCACTTCACCCATATTAATATAGAGAGATATTTTAAACATATAATATCTATACAAAATTAAATAAGGTCATTTATATAATTAAATAAAAATTATACACATCTATAATAACAAGAAAGTGATGTAGGAACTGCCTCCCTAAACCTTTTATGCAAACTTTTGTTATTTTATATTTGAAAAATTGTGAAGTTACGACAATTGAGAGTGGGGGTGTAAAAGAGTGTAAGAGTATAATTGACAAATTAAAATTATGAAGTTTGTATAATTGAAAGTGGAAGTGTCACAAAGAGGCAACTGACAAATTTAAATTGTGAAGTTTTGGACAATTGAAAGTGAAAGTATTGCAAATAGAAACTGAACAAATCTAACTTGTGAAGTTACCGATAATTGAAAGTGGAGGTGTCACAAATGAATGTATATATTTATGTTTTTTCCTTTTATAATTAACTTTAAATGGTAGCTATCATGTGATTTGTTAAAATAAAAAAAAGGTTACCCCTAATGCATAAGGCTCCCACCAATACAAATTTGCTAAAATAATTCAAATACAAATTAACCTATTAATTCTGCCCAAAAAAAAAAAACCCATTTAATTAATTATTGACTAATCCAGAAATAATCAAAGACAATAAATATACAAATTAATTAATCTGATTCATACAATAAATATACAAATTAATTAACCTGATTCATACATCTGTTATTCATACACCAAGTTATGGCAAGTACCTCCTCTCATTTTTATGTTTGATCTTACAAATAAGAACTGAACTCTCTCTATCAAGAGGGTGGAATTAGGGGTGACAAAGTTTGACACAACTCGCCAACACGATACGAGTTAAATGGGTTTGGGTTAACGTTAAACGGATTCTGGTCATAAACGAGTCGACACGATTAACCCATTTAGTTAATCATGTTGTGGGTTGAAGGGTTCGACTTGTGTAACCCGTTTAACTATACGTGTCATAAACAAATTTTTATTTAAGTTCCAAAATAACTATCTAAACTTGTATCTTATAATTTATTCTTTGATAGATTAGAGATTATTTAGTAATTTGGTTAGATTGAAACTTATATTTATCTAGTATTTAATGTTTGATATAGTATTATTAATAATTTAAATAATAAAGTGTTTAGATTTATTAAACATGTCATTAAATGGATTACACACGCAACCCGTTTAATAAACAGGTCGGGTTAGTGTTGAGGGTTCCTGACACAATTATTAAACGGGTCGTATTCGGGTTGAGCTGTTTAGTATAATACCCTTAAATTGACACGACACGATTACGACTCGCAAACACGAATTGTCACCCCTAAGTGGAATGCTTAATGATTTAAATTTTTTTATAAATATTGTGAGGTTCACTAGAAAAGAAAATGTATAGGTCTTTTTTGAATTTGACTTGATAAAATGAGTTTCTTTGATACTTATATAAGAATCAAATAGTGAGATTTATATAATTAATTAAAAATCTACATATAGAATGATATTAAAAAGAAACTCTTGCGGGATACTGTCCATTGAACCTATTGTGCCTCCATCACTTCTTTTTAGGCAGATTTTTATTATTTAATTTATAAAAATTTGTAAACTCGTTGAAAATTGAAAATGGGTGTCTCAAATAAGATAAGGTATTAGGTGCGCCTGGCGCACCTTACACTGGACCCATTGAAGATATGCGTGTTGTGCACGCGCAGGCCCATATTGTGCACGTGCGACTATGCACTCGGGCCTCAGCGTACCAAATATTTATTCCTCAAACGAGAAGGTATTGGGTGCGTTCGACACATTGTGCACCAGGCTCATTCGAGCCGTAGATGTCAGGAAACTTTACCACGGAACCTTCTGTGGCCCCGTCACTGTTTTTTAGGCCGACTTTCATTATTTTATTCATGGAAAATTGTAAATTGCCGACAATAAAAAATGGGGGCGTCTCAAATAAGAAAATGTATTGAGTGTACTCGGGGTACCATACACCGGGCTCATCTGAGCCGTACATGTTGTGCACGTATAGCTCCGATGAACTGGTGCACCATACACTCAGCGCACCGAATATCTACTCCTCAAATAAGAAAATATTTGGGTACGCCCGGTGTACTGTACACTGGGCTCATCCGAGCTATACATGTTGTGCACATATAATCACGTGTTTAGCACATACGGCTCAAATGAACTGGTGTACCATGTATCTGGCACACCGAATATCTATTCCTCAAACGATAAGGTACTGGGTTCTCCCGACGCACCGTGTACTGGGCTTGTTTAAGCCATACATGTTGTGCACGTGCAGGCAACTGCCCAACTGAACCCTCTGTGGCTCCATCACTCTTTTTAGACAGACTTATTATTTTATTTATGAAAAATTGTAAACTCACCCTCAATCAAAAATAGGGGTGTCTCAAACAGAAGAAGGTATTGGGTGTACCCGGCGCACCAGGGCTCATCCGAGTCGTACATGTTGTGCATGCGCTGGCACTTGTTATGTACGTATGGCTCAGATGAACTGGTGCACCATGCACACCGAATATTTATTCCTCAAATAAGAAGGTATTGGATGCGCTCGACACACCATGTACCAGGCTCATCTAAGTCATACGTATTATGCATGCGTGGGAGCGTGTTGTGCACGTACGGTTTGAAAGAACCAGTTTAACATACACTCAATGCACTAAATATCTATTTCTCAAACAAAAAGGTATTAGGTGCACCCTATATACTGGGCTCATTTGTGTCGCACGTGTTGTGCACGTACAACTCGGATGAGCCAGTGCACCATGCACTCGATGCATCGTGCATCGGGTTGCGTGTTGTGCAATTGAAAAAATAATAATAATAAAAGTATTAATATGTGTAAATATATACATATTTATACTCTTAATTTTTTTTTTTTTTTTTTTTTTTCAATTGTACACTATTTGAAACACCCCACTTTCGATTGTCCATAAATAAAATGACAAAAGAATGCCCTAAAAAATGTGACAAAGCCACATAGTGTTCAGTGGGGCAGTTCCACGTGACTTTCTTGTCATTTTCATTCTGTGTATAGAATGAATCATTCTGTATATAGAATTAAAATAACAAAAAATTTATATATGGAATAAAAATAATAAGAAATTTACGTTGGAACTTCATCATTAAACTCTCGGTGGCTTCACCACTGTTTTCTTGGCAGGTTTTTGTCATTTTATTTATGGAAGATTGTGATCTCTTAAGTAAGGATGTCTCAAACAGTGTACAAAAAATAATAATAATAATAATAATTAAATTAAATTAAGTGGAGTGATCTTTTGACAATATCATAAATTTTTTAAAACCAAAATAAAAATATTGATGTTAATATATTTAATATATTTCATCACCATCTAAAAGTTAAGATCATATAATCAGCTTAAGAATTCGCATTTAATTGACGACTAATAAAATGACATAGTTTACTCAAATTCATGATAACAACAAAACTACAAAATAACATATTTCATTCTAAAATATTAGTGAGATTTTATATATATATATATATATATATATATATATATATATATATATATATGCGTTAATATTTTTTATTAGTAATTTTTTTATTTAATAACAATTTTTTTAAATTGCTAGAATAAAAAAGGGCTAACCTTGTGCATGTACATGAGGCTCTCACCAATGTAAATTTATTAAAATAATCTAAATATTAGTTAGATTCTTTAATTAGTTATTGACTAATCAAGTAAATAATAATCAAGACAGCAATTTTAAAACATCTAATCTTCTTATTTTTTTTATATAGTCTTACAGATAAAAATTGAACTCTCTCCCTCTTAAGAAAGGTGGAATGGTTAATGATTAATTTTTTTTTTTTTATAAATATTGTGAGGTTCACTAGAAGAGAAAGTGCATGTTTTTTTTTTTTTTTTTTTTTTTTTTTTTTTTTTTGTTACTTTGGTTTCATAAAATGGGTGTTATTTAGAATTAAATTAAAATTAAATAGGAGGAATAATATAATTAATTAAGAATATATATACAAAATGAAAATAACATTGAGAATCTATATACATAATGAAAATAACAATAAATTTATGTTGGAATTGGCTCACTGAAGCCACTAGTTTTTTTGCACCTTTTTTTTTTTGTTTTTTTTTTTTTAATGGAAGACCGTGATCTCATAAGTGGGAATGTGTCAAACAATGTGCAATCAAAAAAACTAAAAATTTAAGAGGATAAATATGTGTGTGTATATATACACATATATATTTCTTTTATAATTAATTAAAAATAGATAAATGTGATGCAAAAAAAGAGTAATTATGTTTAATATGGTTATAATAATTACTCAAATGGGTCTTTTTAAATTTTGGGTTAGTGAAATGGGTTTCTTTTAGAATTATATAAGAATTAAATATGGGCGTTTATATAATTAAACAAAAATTTATACACAGAATAATAATAACAAGAAAGTCATGTGGGAACTGCTCTACTGAATCCACCCTCGGTGGCTTTGCCTCTCTTTTAGGCAAACTTTTTTCATTTTATATATATATATATATATATATATATTACCCTGGTAAGAAAAGCGCCATACGGCATCTACAGGCAAGGAGCAAGCTACAACAACCATACAAGAACCACATAGAACAGCAAATAACAACATCAAGCAATAACAAAACTAACACTCCTTATAGTCAAGATCACAGTCTTGACAAACCAGGAAAAGGTGTCAGTTACAGTAGGAGTATCAGCACCACAAACATGTCCTTCACCATACCACAAACAAGAGAAAGACGTGCAAGAGCTCCACAAACATGTTCGTTACCTCTAGCCAAGTTGCGCACCATACCACTAATATCTACATGACCTTGCACCAACCCCAGCCAAAGCTATTGCTAAACTTGATTCATTGCAGG